AAAGAGGCGATATTAATGTGTGACTAGTGAAGTAACCCAGCCTTGCTGCCACCAGCGAAGAAAGAAAAAAAAAAGTAGTTTTGCTTTCAGCAGGAAAGTGTGCCGGCAGAAATGAAAACATGCTTCGCTGCAACACAGCGATTACATGTGGGCAGCACGCTGCATGTTTACTGCCATGTTAGTGCATTATGATTCACCTTTCTGGAATTATAAAGCAATTGATAAAGGTCAGTCCGACAGAATTCACGATGTATGTGAACCTTTTATTGGTGTTCACTCACTTGCACTTGCACTGCTGGTGGAGTTCTTGCCTGCAGCGCCTACGTTAAAAACTCAGTTCGAAAATTTCAGTGATCATGTTTTCCAGTCAAAACACATCGCTGATTCCCCCAAACTAGTGGCTGTTAAGTTCTTATTTTACCATAAAGAATGGACGCTGTGAGGAGCAGGTGACATGCTGCCCACGTGCCAGCACTATGTTGCAGTGAAGACAGTCTTCTTTTCCGGAGGTGCGCATTTCAACAAACCACATAACTTTTTTTTTACTCCGCTGGCAGCAGCAATGCCCGCCATTTCCCTTTGTGTTTGAGGCAAAATTGGAAACAGGTATTGCCGGAAAACACTCCTCTTGGAGCAGCAAACTAGCGGACACAGCAAATGCGGCCACCTCTGATTACTTTCAATATTTCAAATTTCTTTGAATCCCACTTTTCATATGTTTTCTTAATTCGAAAACCTACTTAAGTTGAAAGTTAGTCAGTCCCAGTGCCTTAACATTATCGAGGTTTTTACTGTATGTGCTCCAGACCATCTTTTTTTTTCTGTCTCATAGAGTTTCATACAATATTACCTAGAGAGGAATCTGGCGCTGCAATCTTGTACCTCCATGGGAATTATGGGAAGCACAGACTTCAGATTGGATAGGGTTAGCTAGCGAACTGTCTATAGACTTCTTTCTAAAGTTTCAGTTTCGTTCTTTGAGCAGCCAGAATAGTGTGGTGTGGTAACAAGCACTGAAGCAGCGCCTTTGTTGTTCAAAGAGGCTGAATACCACTAGGTCTGAAGTTTGCTGCGAGTTTAAACGAAGCGTCGTCCAGTCACCGCTGCGCATGCATGTAGTGTCTCATGCCAGTGCAGGATATTGCGACGAATTCATGATTTTTCACGAGTGCATTTTGCCTAAATTCTTTTCAAGTCAACTGCAAAACGATGACGAAGCTAAGTAGACGCACAGTCATGCTCCGCTCACTCTACTTCACAACACGAGAGGTGCATTGGGGGCAGACCACTTGGACAGACGCACTTAGCATAGCAAAAGACGAAACATTAAGTGTTTCTTTCTCACTTAATACTGTACTCTTATTTCAATAAATAGATAATTCGTACTTTCGAGATAAAAACAAGCATGTTTGTTTTCAAATGTTGTAAAAAATTATTCTTGAAATCTTGATGCCAAATTTGGAGTGCAATGACAGAACAATGCATACCCTAAAGGTTAAATTTGCCCTGGTTTAATTTTTGCCACCTCCTCACAAAAACTTTTTGCAATAAAGTTTACATACAAACAAATAAAGCAAGTTTGAATTAAACAGAAGTTCATATCACTTTGTTTCCCACTTGGAAAAGAAGCGTCCCGAATCTCAAGAACGTAATCCATACGAAGCAAATCTAAAGCCTATACTTCCCACAATTCCCATGGGGGTACAAGCGCTGCTGAAGGAGCCCACATAGACACTAGCGCCAGATTCCCCTCTAGTTATTATTGTATGAAACTATGATCTATCTTCTCTTTATGAGGAGGTTCTTCCATTAGTAACTGACAAACATTTAGTACTAATTCGACAGTTCAGTTGTTAATCTTGTATATATTCTCTCACTGGAGATTGCTATTACTGCCGAGTTCAAGTGTTAGCATGCATGTTCTGAAGAGAACTGAGCATTGGTTTGTCTATTTCCTGAAGCTTTCACCAAGTTGTGAAAAACACTTGCAGATGTCTTTAGTACTTGCAACAACCTAGGAACTTAAAACAGTGCCTCAAAGCAATATATATGCAAGAATAGGAAGCATGGTGAACTCAACATTACTTTGGCTGCATAAAGTATTTTGTAACATGCACTCAGTCAACGCCTCCGTTATTTCTTTCAATGCCAGGGCAAACGCGTGCTTATCAATAGGAACAGTCAGTTCGCCTTAGTTCAGGGAGTGGTCGTAATGCGGCGCTATATGAGGGGTTGCCCTTCTGGCAGTTAATCTGCATTTACATTTTCTATGATATTTCATACTTTAAAATATCACTTCAAATTAGTTATATATAACCTGAACACAGTGTATCAGATCATTATCCAAGAGGAACATTTAATCGTCTTGATATCAACCCATGAGATGTTCTAACTGCATGTGTGAAGTTTTCAAGTGATGTATGACAAGTGGTATGAGCTAACATTAAAAAAATTGACACAAACCTCCAATGCAGTATATATAAATGCAGTTAACAAGCAAGCTAGAAGAGTGTACTTGAAAAGCCCAAAAGACAAAGATGAAAGACATCAAATACAACAGGACTGGGGCTGTACTTTCAACAGGCATTTATTTCAAACAATCACTTATGCCCTGTGCATCAGGTACTTAAGCAAACATTTACAATTCAAAAGATTGCACAGATCATGACTGTGTGCTTTAAATGATTGCCAGTTGAAAGTAGAGTGCCAGTTCTGTACCACGAGTTTCCATTGTCATTTGCCTTTTTCAATAACACTCTAAAGGTGGACCAACTTTCCTAAATCAAGTAATTGTTGTCAAGCTTGAGACTTGTAATTTCCTTAAGATTGCTGGCATTACATCTGCATTCTCACTTTACCTTGATATCTTGTAGTAAAACAAATAAGTATGATTGTCATGTTTAATTAAATGCTCAATACTTTCATTTCTGTACCACGTTCTAAATGTCTTTTGAAAAGACATATTTAGATATGCAATTCAGAGTACACTCAGTACCCATGCAAGAGAGCTGAACAAGTTTTATTTGTAATGCACATACTGACAAGTGCAACAGAAAGTCACAACAAAAGCTACCATGGTGTAAACTTAAGCTTGAATTCGGAGGCAGCAAAGAAAATCGGTTTTGTCCTAGAATCCCTAATTTGTAAATGTTTACTCAGGCAAGTGCCACCTTCCCGAAACAAGATACAGAAATTAAATAATCTCATTACACATTAGGCAGTTACAATGCTGAATGGACAAACAAAGTGCACCTCCAGCCTTCAAACGTGTGCATCAGTCAGTGCTAACAGCTCCGAATTGATGTACATTTGGAACGCTTTTTCCAACTATTACTTTCATAGAATGAAGTTAACTTTACACGGGACAAGGAGGCAGTATCAATAAGAAAGGTGGTTTGCTGGGCCAGTTTGTAATGATATTGATTGATCAATGAGTTACCATTGTAAAACAAAAAACAAAACACAGACATGGTGCTGCAGGAATGGTTTGCTCGGCAAGTTGACGAGATAGATGCATTGCCAACTCAACCCGTTTCGCAGCACTGAGTCAGTATTTCGTTTTTTTGTTTTTTTTTTCTTTCATCTTGGTCGTCCTTCACTTTGGCAATGCCAAGAGACAGAGTAAAACGTGTTTTTTTTTTTTTTCAAGCAAGAATGAATGAAATAGCCCGGCAACACACTTCTTTAAATGTCCCCTCCATTTTCTACATCTCTTCGGTTGTGCTGAGCATTTTCATTTCTAGGCTACACGCGCCGCATGCTATTAAGAAATGTGAAAACAACCGAAAAATGAGCGCACGGTAGTTACCATTCAGAGGCTAAAATATTGAAGTTAAAATACAAGGTCGCCTTAGTTTATAGTTTTTTGTTGTTCTTTATACAGGAGCGCCGTCTTATTTCTCAGTCAAACATTGATAGAACTGACGAGTGCGCAAGTCTGCATAAAAAAAAAAAAGAGGCTGCCTGCAAAGTGGCCAGTCTGCGCTTACGCGATCCATCAGAAGTAATGTTTTCTTGTTTTTTTATTAATTGAAGGCGGCGGTGCACACTAGGTCAATTATAATTCGCGAAACTTAGCGCAACACCCAAGATGAAACATTTCGCACTCTTGCGTCGTCATGCAAGTTTCGTGTATCTAGATAGCCACTGCTCTCGATCATGCTGCAAGAATACGCCCCTGACACTGATATATTGTTCAAGGCTTGGTCACAATGCGACCTTCGCCGTTATCACAATACTTTCGGAACAAAGGCTGCCTCCGAACCTGACAAGCATTTCCCGCCGGCCGCCTAACAGCCGGACGCTACTGCACTAAAGAGTGCAAGAGAAATGTCGAGGCGACACCTCAAAGTCCCTCAAAGTCCGTGCAGTGGCATCGAAACAGCGATACTCGTAAAAAAAAATGAAAGCATTTCTTTGTTCCCACACGGGCAGCTTACGCAGCCTTGGGGGTGTTTCCAGGAAAACACTTATAATCGACTACTCAGAGCCACCTCTACCGAAACCGGAATTCAACTACAGGTTTAAGACACTTCCTTCAAATGATGCCGAGTAGTTGCCTCAAATGCGCGGCACAATATCAGGTAATACATAAAATATACAAACACTGGCGTTCCGACGGTAACTGAAATCGATTACTGTTCACGATGCAGTAGTAGGCCTATGTATTTCTCACGGCGGAGCATCGGCGCGACCACCGCCTCCGCTGTCAACATCATGCCAGTGGCGGTTCGCTTCACGGGTATGACTGCAGCGGAGGCGGATTGCGTCCGATCGCCATGACGTGATTATCGCACACATTCTCTTTTCAAAACGAGCACCCGACGCAATGACAAACCAACTCCCTTCCACCAGTCGCTTCGCGGCCGCCCTGCGCCGAGGCGGTCGCTTGAGCGCCGTCTCGCAGGGCCGACCAGTTAGAGAGAGATAATTTCGCAGCAAGCATCAAGGAGAAGATGAACAGAGGATAGAGATAGTTAAATAATTAAGTATAAACGTACCTGCCAACGAAATTCTCCAGTACACTGCTTTTTCCTGCGCTCTGTCCGCCGACAACGGCGATCTGAGGCAAGTCTAGCGTGAGGCTCGCACCTAGCTGAGCGTAAGCGTCTTGAAGCCGGTTTACGATAGGAATGAGGCCTTCCATGCCGTCGTTCCCGTTCATTTTCGAAGACGGCCTCCAGTTGAAAAGATAGCTCGAGCCCTCAGCAAAACTCGCACCGCACAGGCATCACAAATACCCTCACTTCGCTCCGCCGCGACGGCAGCTGAAGCCGAAATCAAAATGGCTGCAGCAGATCCGCGCATGCGCGGTTCAGGCGCAGAACACGTCACTGGGAGAGAGGATCAATACAAGTAACGCAATGATCGCACAGAGAAAAGCACGTGGTACATCACCGCCTCCCGGGAAACGTTTTAGTATCAACCTTCTCGGCGACTGTGAGTGCGTATCTCGGGTTTCAGAAACGCCGCCGACAGAATAGAGCCGACGCAAGGCAAGGGCAGATAACTGTTGTGCGCAGTTAGCGATTGATCTCTCTGCTTCCTCATACCGGAAGAGAAATTTTGTATTTTGCTTCCGCGCTTTCATTTTTTTTTTCTCCTTCGGTGACCAACCCACCGGTTCGACCCAGTTCCATCTTCTTTTGTTTCTTTCATTAGCCGCTCGCTTTGCTAAAGTGCAAAAGATTAATGTGATGTCATTGCTGTTGAAATTTGGGGGGGGGGGGGGCGGGCAAACTGCCTTACCCCCAAATTTTTTATATTTTATATGTGTATATTTACGCGCACAGATACAAACTCACGTATGAACGTACTTGGTTTCTACTCCTCTCTCGAATAAAATTTCTGGCTACTCTACCGGCTAGCATACTAGCATAGGCAGTTGTGCGTGTAAAAGAGCATACAACTTGTGGATTTCCTTCGCTGCTGACTTTACGTTGTACTAGAACACTGTACTCAATGTTCTCAAGGAGCAGTACGTGGCGCACCCAGTTTTTTTTTTCTTTTTTTAGGAGGTGGAGGCATTATCTATGTATGTCGGTGCGTGTGTTTGTATGTGTGTGCAGATACGCGCATCTACAAAACTAAAGAAAAATTATGGATTTGCAGGAACACCCTCCCGTGGCTATTCCAATGTCGAGGAGCACCGCGCTCAAGCGCGCCATCTAGAGGACGCCTGCTGAGCGGTGCATGACTAAATGACTCATGGCATTGTTCACGTGTTGACCATTTTCCACCAAGGCAACCGTTACTTCATGTCTTTTCAGACGTACCACTGTTGCCCTACTCTGACAATAGCCATTTTTGTCTTAAGGCTTTAAATATCTTTTTTTTATCTCTGTACAGTTCCATTAAGAAGGCATATAGTTATGCTTACTACAAATGAAGCACGACCTGCAAACGAACAAATAAAAAACATACATCAAATAAATTATAATTTTTCTGAGAACACATGCAGAAGGAGTCTTGAGTGAAGGATAATTTTTGAGATACGTTCATCGTCACAATGGGCCAGATATATACAGTTTGGGTGTCGTAATTTTTATCTTGTCTCCCAGTTCGACATGAAGATGTTTCATTGTATTTAAATGCCACAAAGTCTTAATTGCACCGTACGGGCTCAACTGAATTATAACCAGGCCCGCCTGTGGTTCCTAAACGGGCGCACAAATCACGAAGGTTTTCTTTCTTTCTTTTTTACTCCGCCCCCATCTTGCTCGGGAGTCGTATAGGCGGCCTCGTGCTCACCAGTAAAGTAAAAGATAAATTCCATACCAATAACTAAATCGGCTTCACCTTTCAGTCACCCACCAGTCACCCCTATACAGACCTAGTGTGCAAATTTTCTGCACACGACAAGCAGACTAATATGGGCCCTGTGAGTGCGTTTGTGGATGTATATATTAAATACCGACATATCTATACATTCTGGTTCATGACGTGTTCTATAACAATAACTCGCTTGGCTTCACCTTTCAATCACCCATGAGTCACCCACCAGTCACCCTAGTCCGCAGACTGTCTGCAGAAATGCTGCAGCTTTTCTGCAGCCCGAGGCAACTGCCTGTCAGCTGTAACTAAATATCTCTAATTAAAAGAGCGTTGCACATTGGTAAAGTGTAAAATAAAATATATATGTACTTCATGGCTACCTCACGGCCACCATAATTTTTCACGTATTTTATATACGTGTAAGCGTAAAATTTTGAAGCATATCAATTTTTCTACTAGCACTCAATGGCCGGTCAAGTGTGGTAGCCTGGGCTATAGGTATGGCACGACGAGAGTTACACAGACGACGTGTCTCTGTGTCGTCGTTTTGTTCTCGCGCTATAACTATCTTCTAGGCATAACTATCGTCAGGCCAGTCAAGATAACGTGGCAATATATACCGGGTAGTCGGCGTTGCGTTGTTATGTTGTTTGTACGAGTTGGGCACGTGTTTGATGGGTGTATGGGCGGTATCACAGAACGCCTACCAGTTTGGCGGTATCCTACAATGCTGCATGTTCCTTGAATGCTTGTGCTAACGGAAATGGTAGCTATTACTTTTTGTTCATCCACAACAAAACGCTGTGAATATTCTGCAGAAGTGCTGCAGAATTTTCGTATACTTCATGCAGATGTTCTGCGGATATTCTGCAGGAATTCGGCATCATGCGCGGCCACATATGCTCTGCGTTCTTTCTGCACAACGGGTGTACCAGTTGCCTACTCGGAGGTGACAAGGGTGACAGAAAGTTTGTCACTTGTCTACCTATATTCCGCATCCCGGGTGACTAATGGTCTGTATAATTTCTGTAAATGGGCTGCAAGTTTGTTTGTTTGTTTTGTTTGTAAGCCTGGTCGTGGTGGACCATGACGGCAAAGTTTCGTGAACCACGCACTTACCAAAGTCGACGCGGGAGTGGGGCACTTCTCGCGCATTTGGACCCGTCGAAGCGGTCGTGTGGAAGACCTAAAAGCGGCGACCCGCAAGGTCGCAGGACCGAATCCCGACTGTGGCGGCCGTATTTCTGTGTCGGTTAAATACTACAAGACCATGTCCTCAGATCTGGCGCTAGTTCAATAACACTCATTTGTACATCTTCATCGTCATAAATATAAATGTCTATGCCGCCCATGGATTTGTAAGTCACCATGGTCCCAGTGAAGCCCATCAGAGGCATTTCCACCACGGCCCTCAGCATCCCGAATGTTGAAATAAATTAAGTTTCACATGGTCGAAATTTCCAGAGCCCTCCACTATGGCGTCTCATATATCGTGGTTTTGTGTTGTTGCGTTCTAAAAGCCCGACAATTGTTTTTAGTATATCAGCGGATTTCCATGTAAAAGCTGCCAAGACCACAGCATATGCTGCATGTGTTGTAGTGATAGCGAGCATCCGTCGTCGCGGCAATCGAGGGCGAACACGGAGGGTGCGAACTTCGACCATCATGGCGTCCACACGTCGAGGATGTGCTCTGCAAGCTTTTTTTCTGTCGATCACGCGCCAGCTGTCGCCTGACTCGTGGCCCTTGGTCACACGACTTCCAACACGCGGGTGACTGATTCACGGCGCTAAAGTGACACGGACTACGACCCCCCTTCCCTTTCTTTCTTAGCCTTATTCGTTGGAATGTGTCCTGCTGATCCCGTGCACGCGCGAGAACGCCAAAGCGAACGGGACCTGTACGGGTACGACAGAATAAAAGCCTTTCCAAAAGCGTAGATGTGCATGTGTCGCAGCGCAATAGAGGCATATGCGCGCGCTTTGTTCATTGTTACGAATTCTTGTACGTCTGTGTGCAGAGAGTTCGCGGAAGTGTATGGTATACACTGAAGTGTATACCATAGGTCTTGGTGTCCTGCGAAAAAAAAAAAGAGAGAAAACAGCAAGAGCAGCATTAATAATAATAATAATAATAATAATAATAATAATTCAAAGGGAGCGAAATGTGCAGTCAATTTCTGAGCACCTGTCGGTTTCTGCTGAACGCGTCTTGCAGCGTTCCGCCGTTTCCACCGCAGCAATTGAGAAAGGATGAAAGGAAGGATATAATCGCGGTCGGTGAAGCGCAGCGGTGGGGCAGAATCGCTCTGCAACAGCTCTCGTCAGAACAGGCAGCCACAGAAAACGCACACACATGTCAATAATTGTTGAGGGGTGCGTTCGAATTGGCAACTATATCTGTGTGCGTACGCGAGATATAATAAGCGTTTATATGATTAAAAGAAGCTTAAGCACCTTCTCCTACGTCTGGCGAAATTCAACAAATTTTACGCCGTACAACTATATATATATATATATATATATATATATATATATATATATATATATATATATATATATATATATAATATATATATATATATATATATATATATATATATATATATATATATATATATATGGGGAGGGCGGGTTAACGTTTCAAAACCACCATGATTATGAGAGATGCCGTAGTGGAGGAGCCCAAATCTGAGTACACAGGCCTACAACATTTCCGCCTCCATCGGAAATGCAGCCGCCGCAGCCGGGATTAGATCCCTCGACCTGCGGGTCAGCAGCCGAGTACCTTAGCTGCTATACCACCGTGGTGGGGCATATATATATATATATATATATATATATATATATATATATATATATATATATATATATATATATATATATATATCAAGAAGCATTTATGTGGATCCAGTGCTTCATATACTTTGAGTGAGAAATGACGGACGAACGTGCGAAAATGTTTATTTGTTCCAAAGTTTTGACAGGATCGAGGCCTGCCTTCGTCAGGGAAAACATTTTCACACGATCGCCCGCCTTTTTTTATATAAACACCTTGCAACATATGAGGAAGGAGGAGTGTTGTTGACGCATTCCCGTTCGAACGTGGCCCGGGGGCCGTAAATGTTTCTCCCTCTGCTGCGCTACTCCGACGAAGGCAGGCCGACGATAGAAACGTCCGTAGTTTATCGAAAGTTCTTGACACCTGTGCGCGGAGGTGATATTCAATTAAAAGCACTGGTTTATATTCAGGTCTGGTTGCACGTTTAAGAAGCCCGGGTGGTACAAAAATAATGCCGCGCCCGACCGATATACGCATAGGGTGCGCTTCATGAGGTTCCGTAATTTACGTCAAATTTTAGTTTCTTGAAACGCGCAAAACTTCAAAAATGAACATGAAACCGCGAACAGACGCTGCACTTTTCTGGTTGCGTGGCGAAAGGCGTGAAATAAAGAGAACCACCTGAGGTAGATGCGTAATGAGGGTTGCGGAGAAAAGCAAGCAGATTCCGAGTTCAAAGTGCGACCA